GGGATGTGCTGTGAGCAGCAGTGGTTGCAGTAGCTTCCAGATTGGGAAGAGAGGTGGTGCAGAGACAGTGCCCACAGCCTGAGAAGAATGGGATTTGAGGGGGTCCATCTGGTTTCAGTTGGTCATGTGGCTTGTGGAAATTTCTGGCATCAGTGCCGCTTCTGCTGCTTTTTTGGGTCACAAGCTCAGTGAGTTGTTTGGCAGGGTCTCAGCTCCCTGCTTTCCCAGGATGTTTGCCAGTCTGTTGTCTGGAGAGGGTGTGCTCTGCAGGATAGCCTGAGGGAACTGCAAAGGCTGTGCATTGGGCTGGGAAGCCCTTTGTGATAGTTCGTTTCTGAGGGCTGCTCTGAAATTGCAGGTCCCTGAATAAAACTGGAGTTGTGCTCTGTATGATGGCTTTCACCATAAGAGAATGAAAGCAATTAAACAACAGAGGCAGTAATGAGACAGCACACCGCTAACCTGATGGCAGCTCTCACTGATGCCTTCCAAAGCTTTTTCCAGCATGGGAAGGCTTATTTTGTGGACAGAACACCCTGATCTCAGTGCTTGTGCCTTCTCCTTCCCTGTCCAGTCTCATCTCTTCCAGCTGCTGGGACAATAGAACACAGCCTCCATCCTGCTGGTCTGCAGGTGCATCTGGAGCGTAAGGGATGCTGAAGCATGGCTTATGTGCATTGTTGAGCCCTGTTTTGGAGATGTGCAGATAAAATCTGTTTACAGACTGAGAGATCCGTGGTTCATGTGGTTGTGTTATGCTGATAGGAAAGTAAGATAGTTTCTATGTGAACAAATACCACGACCTTGGTACTTAAATCAGTGCTGCCACGGTGTGATTTATTACTCACTTCACTTAAATCGGAAGGTTTGGTCCAAGCTGCGCTTCAAGGTGTTGTGAATGCCAGCACCACTGAGATAATGTGGCCACACACAGCATATGCACTCAGAGCTGCTAGTTGGCAACAGCAGACATGAGCTTTTCCTGAGGGCAGTTTTGGCATTTTCTTTGCGAGGATCTGACAGTTGTTCCAGCTTCTCCCTGCCCACAGGCTGATGGTGCTGTAGGGTCTATTTCTTACCTTGGTTAGAATTCAGTGGTCAGCATTTCACAATAAAGGGAGTATGTGGGCAGCTGCAGAAGATCTTGTTGGTGCTTGTGGGAAGGAATGGTGCTGCAGGTGCTTGACTTTAACCTGCTGCCTTCTGAACCTGCCAGGACAATACTGAATTTCCTCTGAGTAGGAATTGGGCACTGTCTCTTAGTCAAGTTCCGTCCAGATTGGACTTGTTTTTGTGAACCTATGCAGCCCAGTTCCTGTACCATATTTTTGCATTCTTCCTGTCTTGTTTTGGCCTCCCTTTCTGAATTCTTCTGTCACAGTGTGGCAAGGCCTTTTCTCTGGGTAAGCTCCTGCCACCAGGTTCTCACCACATCCCCATCCTTCTGGCTTTAGGCCTCCAGCTTCCCACCTGCGGGCAGAGCATCACACACTGTTCTTGAGCAATGCCAGTGCGTGCGTGCCCCTTTCAGGTGCTGGCTTTGATGACTGTTATCCAGAGGTGGTCAGAGCTCTGTTGCAAGGTCCTCAGCCTCATCCCAGCCCGGCAGCAGATGGCTGCCTGTGCAAAGTGATCACTCATGCATGCTAACGCTGACAGGGGACTCCAGAGGTTTGCAGGGAGTGCTGCTTTTGGGGCTTTCTGCCAGCTCCGTCACAACCCCAAATGACAGAAAAGCTGAGAAGGCTGCAGTGTGCTTGGGAAGGGGTCAGGTGTTCCTGTGATGTGTGCTGTCCTTGTCATTCAGACTCCTTGCTTGGGTAGGTCAACTTAGGCCATTCATTTTATTGTTCTTTTGAACAAGCTGCTGTGGCGTTGCTTCTCCAGCAAAGAAGTGTTTTGCAGCACCAGGCTGATTCTCTGGGAGTGGGGAGTATGTGGATTGTGTTTGTAGGATATGAGGGTACTGTACTGCTGCCCCACTTGAGATTTGACCGTATTCCATTTGCTGTATTGCATATAGGGTGAAACAGGATGAAGTTGGACCCCTTCACTAGTAGCGCGGGTGGGATCTGTGGGATCCAAATTGCTCTGTCACGAGGCAGCCAAAGATGGCTGCTGGTGGCATCATCACACACCCATCCTCAAGCTAGCATTTCCTGAGCCTGGTACCTTGTCTGGAGTGCCTTGGCTGGGATGGCAGAGGACTGATGTTCCACCCCTACCTTCCATCTCCAGCCCTTGGAACTAACTCTTGCTCTGCCTCTTCAAGTGGTGTAATTAAATTGTAAGAACTGGAGTCCTCATTACTTTCTCCCATGTGAGAGCTGAGGAGCTAATCTTCAGAGAGAGGCTGTTGGCTGAGATCCAAAGGAGACAAATATCAGAGCAGAGGCTGCATCTGTGTTGATATTTACTCTCATTAAGGATAATGGTCATTACCAAGTGCTATCAGCGCAGGGTTGCTCTTTACAGGTTATTTTTGTCTGGCTGTAAGCAAAAGCAGAAGAAAAAGCAAAATGCATCCATCTCTGCCGTTTCTGCACATCTTTTTATTTTTCATTTTTTCCAAAGAAACATTAATACGACATTTGAATTGGTGGGTCTGGCATGTGCAGAAGTCTGCACTGATGCATGAAAAAATTGTTGATTCATATTTAGAAATCTCCTATTCTGGGAGCTTACTCCTCTTCCATCCCTTGCATCAGTGCACATAGATTGCATAAACAGACTGAATTCCCAATGCACTGGTGCAGACAATCAGACCAATGCATAGCCAGAGAAAGACTGGAGCAAACTGCTGCTTGCCTTCCTGTGATAATGGATGTGCATTCAAGCAGCCACATGGATCTCTACAAATGGAGCAATCCTGAGAGCAGAGCGGGCTCACAGTCTGGTCCTTCCAGTGAAACAGCTGTTCTTATCTTTCCTTTTTTAATAGAAGCTCATGCAAGCAGGAAGAGAATTGGTAGGAGCTGGGGTGCCAGGAGTTGCTAGTGGCTTGCTTGTGAGTGCATCTTGGTAGTAATATTTTGTAGCTTTTCCAATGACAAACCTTGCAAAAGTGTTTTGAGATGAGTAAGCCTTTGAATCTCTTAACTGATATGTGAGGAAAAATTCCCTGTTTCACTCTGGTTTGAAGTTGCCTGAATTGATGGCAGAACTGACAGCAGAATTGTTTCTACACCAGTTTTGGTCCTCTGCTTGTCTCAGGGGTTTGACAGAGCCTGTTGCCAGAGCCAGGTGTTCAGCATTGCATTTGTTCCCTGCTACCGCCTTCTAACCTTTGTCTCTATAAGGCTGAGGTGGAAACTTTTGGGAGTATTCAGAACAGTATTTAGAAATGTTAACTGTGGACTGACATGAGCTGATTGCCAAGCAGTTAACGCCAGCAGTTCCACGAGGTCTTCTCCATGCACCTTGATCTGTGTCTGGGTAAGATGTGAGGGTGGTCAGAAGCTGTGCTGCCTCCTGGTGTTTGTTGACCCTTGAACCTCCTAGTTTTAGTCTATGGGACTGCTGGAGGACTGCAAGTGAGTGAAGGCAGGGAGCTTCTGGCTCCTGGACTTGATGTTGTTGCAGACTTTCTCGGGAAGACTCTAAATCCAGGCTATTGGGATTGTAACTTGGTTTGGTAGGACAGAGATATTTGTGGTGTTGCTTGAGCTATAATCTGACAATGGAGAGCAGACATGAATTCAGTAACGCTCTTACAGAAATATGCTTCTCAACAGCAGAGGCTACAGGCACTTCTTACTGGTAAAGTGGTCACATGCTTCATTAGTTCCTTACAATACTCATTTCATTGTAAAGTTCTGGTATTGGTGCATGTGTCCATATTATACCCTTTCTCATTTCCACCTAAAGATAATCATTGTGGAGATTTCCACAAGGCAGGCTCTCATTTGCAGCACATCGCAAACTTCTTTATTGTTCCAAGGCAGCTGGAGAACACTGGGGGAATTAGAACCAGTGCTGCCAGCAGCCCTTCATTTGGTGAAGCCCTTGTATCTTGGGCTCTCTAATGTGTCTCTAATTGGTTTAAACTTGATGGGTTTCCAGTGTTTCCATTTTCTAAATTGATTTATCTGCACAAAAAGTACAAGATGTCCTCTGCTGGGAACAGGTTTCCAAGGTTTTTAATCTTGTGGTTTGTCGATGCAAAGGATAGTCTCATCAGTGTGGATCATCCACTTCTCTTTGTTGTTCACTGTTTCACACATCTCCCCAGGTCTGTGTCTGGCTTCATATCCACTGCAACTTGAAGCAGACTTAGCTGCGCTCTTGTGTTGTTGAGGACAGCAGTTAGTCGGCACAGACCCTTCCCCTGCCTGCCTCACCAAAGGCACAGTTTGCTCCCATGGCCTTTTTCTTTAGCCTAATTGGGGTTATGCCAGAAACACAAAGTGAACTCTTTCTTTTTACCAGTTTGGAAACCACCACCTTCCCTCTGCCAGCCTGTTGTGGCTCCAGGACACATTCCTCGTACCTAGAGCGAATGGGATTGCTCCAAAATTTGGAACTTTTTAAAGGTGGCCACATGTGATCAGGGCATGGAGATACCATGAAGATATCTTGGTTTTTATCTTCTGCCAGATACAAAACCAGTTCAGCTTTTGTCTTTGAATATTTTCACAAATGGTGCTATTTGATCATCAACGTATCAAGAACACGGACTTCTTAAATGTTGACTTCCTAAATTTTATGTTAACCCCTTGAACAGAATATCATCTGAGGTACCTAGACATGCTAGGATGGACTCATTTTCTGCTGGTTGGAGCCTGACATTGGAATGGAGATTAACACAGTCTGCTGTGTCTTGACCAGGCAAACTGAGGAATTTAATTGTGTTTTCTCCAAAACTTGGTTGAGCAGCTTCTAAATAACCGTTAGGTACTACTAATTGCTTTTGAGGAAGCAGAGCAATGAGTTTTCAGAACTGAATGCATTTGATTTCTTTCTCTTGTAACTGTTTTTCTTCCAATATATGTTTTTTGCAGTGACACTGAGAGCCGAAAATTATGCAAGAAGATGAAAGTAGATCCTAATTCAAAGGAGAAAGGAGTGGAATTACTCCATTATAAGTGAGTGCTGTGCTGGGATTTGTAGTTCCTAATTGTTGATGCCCCTGTTAGGACCATTTGTTTTCCTTGCAGCTCCATTTTGCTATAGCATGAGAAGTTATTTCTACTATGCCCTCTGATATGTGAAATTGCTCGCTGTTTCTTCAGTTTGGAAGCATGTGTTGTAACAGAAGTTAAGATGAATTGTGCTGTTGAAGGGAGTATGTTATCTGGGCTTGTGGGAGAGGTGCCCAATAGACTAAAACTACCCAATGCACAGGGCTGACGGCTGAGATTTGGATCTCTTGCTTTTTCTGTCACTTGCCTACTGGCATGTGTCTTGGACAGTTGACTTCACCACTCTGCTTTCTCTTCTAACTTGAGATAGTACTTTGTGAAGTACTTGGGGAGAGGGAAATGGAATGAGATAGCAAGATATCTTCTTCCTGAGAATAATAGAGTGGGAGTACTGTAAAGTGTAAGAGATACCAAGCAGCTGCATCTCCAAAGATCATGCTTTAGTAAATTTTATTATTAAAGTGTCAGAGAGGAGAGACCTGGTTGCATGACACACTGTTTTCCACCCTGCCTTTATCCTCAGGTTTTTCCTTTTCCTCCCCTGCTTAAATTGCTGTGGTGTAAATTCTGCTGGGTTCTGTGGCTTTGGCAGGATAATTTTACTCTGGTTAGTTAGAAGTGAGGGAGCTGTGTGATTTCCAGCAATGCTACTGTAAGTTAACACTGTTACCCACTCCTTGTTCTACAGGGATGGTGCATTTCATACTGAATATAACAGAGCTGTCACGTTGAAGGTAAATTTAAATATTTGATTATTATTTGGTTAGGTATGGGAGAGAGATTTGTGGGTTAAGAACAGGTGTTGGTATTTCTTCATGCTGAAGGCATGAAAGGGAGGGTGGTTAATCTTCATAAGCAGCTGTCAGAATGACCTAGGGGCTTTTGTGGATGCATGCATCTGCCAACCACAGATTCAGAAAAGCTGTGTATTAACAAGATTGAACCCATGTTAAACAGTCATATAAATTGTGAATTAGCTTCCAAGCTGGTTACAAATAGGGATTTTCTTATTTTCATTACCAGGTGCTACTGATGGCAGTATAACTGAAAGTATTAGCTGATACTGTGTTTTTGGATAGAAATTTCTCTGAGGTTTTTAGGCCTTGCATTTATAAATTTCTAAGAGTTGAGTGGCCTGCTCTTTGATCATGGAACTGCAGTTTTTATGATGTGCCCAGAGTGCAAGAGGGATGAAATGACTTTCCGTTTTCTCTGAATCTTGAGGCAAAGCAATAGGAAGCAGTGTTCTGTGAGCACAGTGGGAAAGATACGCAATTTGACTGATGAGGGGAATGATAGACTGAAAGCACAGTAAGCAAGGTGAAAGTGAGCAGCCTTCCTCAGCTAATCCCCAGTGAGGTGCTTGGAGTATCCTCATATGGGGCATGTGATGATTTGGCTTCCAGAAATGACTTTCACCCAGTTCTGATGGCAATTTGTTTTTCTTCCTCTTCTTCAGCAAACTTGGGCTTTGCATAATCACTGAAGCTTGATGAATCGATTTAGGCTGTCAGAATTAGATTTGTATCCATCTTCTGCCTTGTTCAAGGGTTTGGACTGGAATGGAGAAAAGTCTGTGTGAGATGCTCTGTAAACTCTATTCTGTCAGAGTGGCCACTTCTAAGCATGCTTCCTCTGTTACCTTCCTTCCACAGCCAGAGTTGTTGTGGGGTAGATGATGGAGAGATTTGTCTTGGAAAAAAAATATGGCTTGAATCATCTATTCAGGAGGATTCACGTGAAGTGAGGAGAACAGGAATGTGCATCTTCGCCTCTCCTGCAGCAAAAATGCTGCCTGGGTTGGATAACCCAGCCTTGTCAGCAAACGCCTCAGGCTCCTTGTGTACTTAGTGAGGAAATGCACCTGATGCTTTTTTATTATTTTTTCCTCTTAGTGGGTGGTGGGGTGAAGTAGACTGATTAGTTGCCTGGATGTGGGTGGTTTGAATACTCATTAAAACGTCTTTCCTGCTCTCCATACAACACTGCAACCAGGAATTAGTGCTGTGACTCCTCCTTACAGATAGGATGAACTGGAATGCACCTGCGGAGCCCCAGGGAGTGCTCCAGCTGAGTTGTGATCATAGCAGGACAGGAACCATGTCGTTTATTCTTTTAGTTGCCATTTTGTGATGTATTTTTCCCCTTCCCTCCTGCCTTCAGGTGTTTCTTTCTGGCTGGTGAGAAGAAAGCAGATCTAGAGTGACCCCATAGACACACATGGGATGTGTGAGTTTAGTTTGGACAGAAGAGGTTCTGAAGCTCCTGTCTTCCACGATCTCTACTCCTTAAATTAACTGCCTCTCTGAAACCAACTGCTAATGATTTACAGATTGGGCAGCACATCAGAGCTGGGCAGTGGTGAAAGAATTCAGCTGTTTATTTGTTCTGCTGCTCATGGCTGTTTGAATACTGTTTGTATTTCTCCCTCTGCACCATTTCTCCATGCCTTCTTGTGTTGAGGCAGTGGCACTTCTTTCCTACCTTTAGCTGCGTTTGTGAGAGGTCTCCTAGTGCACTACAAACAGCAAGCAGCAGAGGGATATCATTACATTGAGCTTCATACTCATTTTATGGACAGATGGGCAAAATGAAGAACAGACATTAAAGGACTTGTTTCATGGCAATAAAACTAGGATCTTCTTCCAGGCATTCTGTTGACATTAATATTTGTATGTTGTTTTGGAGAATAGTGGACACAGCTCTGAGGAGGAAATGCTTCATTACTGTAAAAGGATTCTTCTGAAGTAGTCATCAATTTCCTAGATAGGGCTGATCCAGCCGATAGCGTACTTAGGCTTTTAAGAAAAGCTTTTCATTTTTTCAAGTGACTAAATTCTTACGTAATTAGGTCCTTGTGGGTTAACTCTTAGAAAAATGAGGAATGAAGGATAGCTCAGTGCCTGCAGTGGGGAGATGTCAGTAGTCAGAACCCCCTGCTGCTGAGACCTTGGTTAGGATCTGAGCTGTTGGAGTTTCTGATAAAGAAGATGGATGGCAAGGGAATTAAGTTTGATCATTAAAAAACTTTTAAGAATAGTTTAAAAAAAAAAAAAAATCTTTTTAAAGAGTTGAGAAGGCTCACAATACCAGTGGCTTGTCCATATGAAAGCAAGAACCTGTGGGATAACAAATGCAAGAGGAATAGAAGGACACAACTCCTACTGTGCTGATGTATCAGCAGGTTGTTGTAATAGGATTTGAATTACCTGCCTGGATGTGGTTGGCCTGAAAATATTGGCTTAGCAAGAGTGAAAAAGTCAAATGATTAGTAAAGGAACAGAGAGTGGAACGGGAAATGTTACTCCACCATCTGAGTTCATTGTCTTGCATCAAGTACGTAATTCTGGTGGCCACAATGAGTGACACATACCAAGGTACTGTAGAAGAGCAATAACGCTGGATCAGAAGTATCAGTGCCTTGAATATTTGTATTGGGGGTGCTTGAGAAAAAGACAATGGGAGGGGGATTGTGATTAATGGATGTGTAACTGTGAGTAGCTTTAGGAATGGTACAGTTACCTGCTTTTTCTCAAAATGTTGGTGCAAGCGGTGACATTTTGAGGCAGCTGATTTCTAACAACTCTGCAGTGCTTTAAAAAAAAGTTATGGTACACATAGCCATATGTTGTGAAAGCTAAAAATTTAAGTCTTAAAATCAGTGTTTGATAGTCATAAAGTATGTATCCGTTGATAGCAAGCACAGAGGTAAAAATACAACAGCTGGTACAGAGCCAATAAACTCAATTACTTTTTTCCAGAACCTGAGTGTGCAAGATAAAAATGGCTTAGTTTTTCTGCCAGGTATCTGTAGTGAGCTGCTGTTGGATGTCCGAGGTTAGATCACTTTTTGATTTTAGCTGGTTACTTTAACCGCACCATATCCTAATTGCCATACTGTCATAAGGCCAGTATCCAAGCTATGTTTGTTATTCACTGAAGCCTTTTCTGGAGGGTAAAATACAGGGAGAATTTTACTGTCTTTCTAAAATGGAGAAAATTCTTTCAAGTGTAAGCCTTCTGGCAGAGGGAATGGACTAACCCAGTAACTTAGACCAGCTCTAAACTCTGTATCCTTTTCAGGTTTGCTCTTGTAGGATGTGTGTGTGTGTGTAATCAAGGAAAGTTTCCTTATTAGCATCTCTACTGCATTATACTTGAAAGGAGCAAAAAGTGCGTGATGTGTTTCCATATTTATTTTTTCAGGTTAAAACCCATAAATGATAGCCAACTATGGTACTGTTAAAACTAGCTTCATTTTGGCAGCGTCTACTGGACAAAACCACATCCTGTGTTCTACTGAATTGGTGTTTGATGTTCAGAGCTGCTGCAGGGGCTCAGGCAATGGGTAACATAGAATCATAGAATCACCAAGGTTGGAAAAGACCTAAAAGATCATCCAGTCCAACCGTTCACCTATTCCCAATAGCTCCTACTAAACCATGTCCCTCAATACAACATCCAGTCTTTCCTTGAACACCCCCAGGGTCGGTGACTCCACCACCTCCCTGGGCAGTCCGTTCCAGTGCCTGACTACACTTAACAGCCCATTGTGGGCCTGCTGGGGCTGCAGTATCAAAGCAGGTCCTGACCCCATCACGGCAGGGCAAGAGTGGAGCTGGTTCTGCAGCATGGGAGCTGCTGTGCTGTGGCCTGGACCTTGCTCAGGTCTCGAACTCAGAACCCAGGGACAACTGTTTTTCTGCAGTTAGATAATACTGTGGTTTGTTTGTGGGGATTTTTCTTTGCTGTTTAAAAGCGCACAGGAAACTCTCTTCACAGAGTGGAGTAATGAGTGTGAGGCACTGCACTGTCTGCTCATGCCAGAAGACATTACACATCTAATTTTTTCTTTCTTGGCTGAGAGGGAGAAGCTGCAAGAATTAAATCTCTTTAATCCCCCGTTCTCTAACCACATCTGTTTCTACATCACTGAACTTGGCACACAGGAATTTCTTGAAACTAGCAGAGTCGATTGCATTCATTAGCTGTTTAAAATGCTGTCCCCTCTCTCCTCCCCAGCAGAGTACATTTGAGGTCTGTGCAGACCAAAGGCAAGCAGAACTTGATGCGGTGTTCCCAGGGTTGGAATATCTTCCTGGTTTGGTCTTCCTGCCCTCTCCTTTTTCTATATGTTATTAAATTTTCTTACAGCATTGTTTGGGATGCTGATGCCTGTAGCTTTAGAGCTTTTTACAAGTGTAACTGCGTTATAAATTAATCAAACTTCTTGATAGCTCATTTCTCTGCTAATGCCAGATTAAAACAAATTTATTCTATGCAAAGTGTTTGTGGTCCCAAAACAGCTACCTCACCCCTTAGGTCTTCTCGCTAGGTACATTAAGTGCTTTGGTTGTTGTCTAGTGACTAATATATGCTGCCTCTTACTATAAGACAAATCTCTTTAATGTTAGCTAAGCAAGTAGACAGTCATTAATGCAATAATGCTGTAAGCTCTGAATCCTCCCAAGTCTTGTAGTACCAGCTGAGATGCAGGAAGATGGGCTGAACTCTATCTGTTGATAAGCTGTTGGAGTGTTGTACAAGAGCAAACCTACCAAAGACAGAAAGGTGGCAGAAGTGTCTCTTGAGACTGTTTCAGTGGCACGTGTTACCAGGTGTACTGATAACCTGCTCTTGAGAAGGTGGGTTACAAACCTGAATGGCATGGAGCTGTGTCCCTTGGGTCCTGTTGCTGTCACCAGAATAGCACCTTCCCCTTGGACCTCATTGTGTTATTGCAGAGTTCTTGTCTGGGAGTGGATGCATGCCTACAAGTGGTGCCACAGAGAAAGAAAACAAGGTCAATCTGAGCTGTAAGTGATCATAAAAATCTAGGCATTGTGTTTTCTATAGCACAGACATCTGAGGATAAGTGATGAAACTAACACCTTCACATATAGCTGGAAACAGTGGGCAGTGATACTCTGAAATCCGTGGAGAGCCAGCCTCTCACTGACTGAAGTTTTCCTCAAGTTCAGTCTGAAATTTGAACTAGTAGGAAGTATTTTTGTGATAAAGGGAATAAACATGTCAGTCAAGTAGAGTGTGCATATATGTACTCAGCTTATCAAATATTGGAGCTGCAGAATCAAAGTGCTTCACATTTCCTGCTTCTCTTGCTATGTTTCTTTTTTATACTCCTACTTAAAAATCCATTAAGTGCAGTTTCTATTTGAATGGATCATAGGGGAGACTATTGGTGGATTATTTTCCCGTTGACCAAAAGCTCAGTCTGAACTATAAGTTTGGAATTCATTGCTTTTGCTATGTGAGTATCGGTGTGCCCTACAGCTGGTACTTTTGGATCTAAAAGTTACACAGATCCAGTTAATGGCATGGAATGTAACGTCTGCATAGAGAAATCTTTCCTGCTAAGCCAGGGACCAGCTGTGGAAACATTGGACATCTGCTACCACTGAAAGAACTCTCTGAAGGATCCTTGAAATTGTTGACTGTATGTCGGTCCACCTCCACGCAACTTTCCCCAGTTTTGTGATAGAAATAGGCACCATTGAGTGGGTATATCATTTGTGAGGAAGTTAAGCACCAGTGTATCACTTAGTTCTGCAAGAGTAGATTTGTGTGCAACTTCATTATAGCAAAAGAGTGTAAAAATGGAAAAGCAAAAGTGTTTATTGCTTGGGATTCACATGACAGTATTTGATTTGAGTTCAGGTTCTCATTTGTTTTGCTTTAAAAGCTGTTTTTTCCTGTTTCCTACAGTCCATTGTGGCCTTTCTCAAAGATCCAGAAGGTGCTCCATTGTGGGAGGAAGATCCTGAAGCCAAAGACATTGTGCATGTTGACAGTGAAAAGGTATGACAACTGAAGAGATGTTCTGTGCATTTTGTAATTATGTGGGATGTGGGGAGTATGCATGTTTGTATAAACTCATAACAAAGCACCATTATTTCCTTTGGAAGGAAATTCTATAGTACACGGTTGTTAAAGGGACATAATAAAGTTTGTGTATTATGGTAGAGAGAGCAAGGTCTCCTGCTTCCTTCCTTCTTTCTTCTACCCTATGTGTGGTCATGGTATTAGTCTGTGAACTACATAGCAAGCATCAAGTCATTGTGGATGCTGTAATAGAAGAGACGTGCTTGTCTCAAAGTGTAGCAGCTTGCAAGATGCAGTTGCTGCAGGATGCAAGTGGGAGATAAAAATGTTATTCTTAAAACTGCAGGTTGTCATTAGAGCTTAGATTCTCTCATTTGCCTGAGGTCTTCTCAGGAAGTCTGGAGCACGTAGGAGCAAAATTCGGGTCTTGAGTGATTTAACCTTGTACAGTAACCATCTGCAGTGGCAAGTGGGAAAGCTGTAAATAAGATAAAACTACCTTAATAAGCTAGTGCCATCACAGAGCTACCCATGATATTCTCTCTAATATTATCAGCTTGGTCTTTTGTATTACTTTTCTAGTCTATTGATTTTTAAAACTTTAATTGATTGGGCACTAGCTGGTATTTTGTAAAGGGCCTTTTCAATTACCTGGCTTTCATTTTTAATATTAGAAACAGTTATTTTGACATTCTGTTTTTGTAGGAAGATTAATTTTTAATGTTTACCTTATGTACTCTATTATAAGTCTTTCAAGGATTGTGTTCAATTTGAAAACTTGATCTGTTTTTTTCTACCATGCTGGTAGTAAAAAATCTATTCTCATGGCCTATTCTATTTCATAGTGTGGAAATGAAAACTTTGTTACTGAGTCCAACTTATTGAATTAGAATATGTTTTTTTCATTAGGCTGCAGATTCTGAGTTGAGAATGGACCAAACAGTACAACTTTCACATCTTGACACCAAAAATGCTGGTCTTGGCTATTTAGAAATATTTGAGTCTATAAAGTTCTGTCATCTCCTTTCAACTTAAAGTTGAACAGGCAGAAGAAACTCGAGTCTTGTTTGTTTGGGAGTACGACCGCTTCATTTCCCCAAATAAAGGAGAATACTACTAAAATATTGACTTTAAAGTTTAATGAAAGTGTATCTTTATGTAGGTCTGTACTTAGTTTGTTTGGTTCATTCACTAGGAATTACGAAGGCTCCTGAAGAAGGAAGACAAACCCCTTCTGATGATGTTCTATGCTCCATGTAAGTAACGTAGCACATCTTGCTGTCATCTTTACTGAGAAATGTTCAAGTCTGACTGGAAGCCTCCCTTGTGTTTCACTGACACCATCGTATACTGTGGTTATCATTGAAATCCATGTGGTGTTTGCCTGTTTGTATTCAGTTTTCCTCTCATTGTTCGTCTGCTGCATCCTAGGCTGGCAGTTTTTTCCCTTTATCTCAGTCTTGTGATGAGCATCTTGTTTATGTAAGTTTTTTACTTGTTATCCTTCCGAAATATGTATGGTAGTAGACAGAAGAGTGATATGCTGAGCTCATGTGTTAATGCTACTTTCTGAGAGGGTCTAGCCCTCTGGTCTATATGGAGCTGGAATTGCAGATGAATATTGCACGTGCTTTTTACTTTTGCGCTTTGGGCTGCAATATACAACAAGCAGTTATACACAAACAAAAACTCTCTAGAGTAGCCCTGGAATAGAAAGAAGCTCTATCTGCTCTCAGTAACTGCAGGCAGTGGGAACAGTCAAGAGCAGGAATACTTTTTTATTTTACTCCATTCAGGAGATACTCTGGATGTTTCAATTGTCACCAGCAGGAATATCTTGAATGTGGGGTGGCAGGAAGGAAAGAGAACAACTCATTGGGGTTGCTCTGTTTCTTTTGTGACATTGTCACTGCACTGCTCTGAGCTTGTTGTTGCATTGGCTGCTTATTCAGCTTTTGCAGATTTACAACTGGTGACAGGTGTGTGAGAGGCTTTCCAGCTCTTCAAAACAAAATACTGCCAGAACTGTTGCTCAGCTGGAAAGCGGGGCAGCCATGAGAAAGGCATGAATGTGTGCCTTAAGCTGGAAAAACCTCCCAGTGCTGTCCTGATCATGAAATTGATGCAAGGCATTGCTAGCATTTCCTTAGTTGTCTGTCTTCTAAAATGAATGCCCCATGGCAGCAGTATCTAGTATTTGAGTGTATTTTCTCTGGTAATTATTGCCTGAAACGCTATCCTACCCTTTTTCAGTCGCCTCAGAGTACTGCCAAGAAGGCCAGAATGCCCCCAGACTTAGCATGATGCTTCAGTATGAGGGTGTTTTTCCTTTAATTAAATTAGCAGCAGCACGGGGCCTTCACGCTCTGTAGCACCTGCAGGCTGCCCTGGCTATGTCAGCAGGGGGCTACAGGCCTGCTTTGCCTGCCCATTGCCTCGTGGCAAGCGCTCTGCTGCACAGCCCCGCACGGTTTACCTGTATCGTGAATAATTGTTTTCCACAACTGAGTCCCTGCCTTAAATGTGCCTTATCTAGCCTTTGGTTCTCTTTGAACCGTTCCCCCAGAAACCCTCCTCCTTCCAGTTTCTGGTCTTTTGAAGTGGCAAAACACCTGCTAGTCTGCAGTGCTGTAATACCTTTGCTGCTTTCTGAACTGCTGTGAAGGAAGCCTACTTGTAAGGTTTTTTCCCCCTCTGATTTCACGATTCTTAACTCCCTCATCTTTTATTTAATACATGAGACCTTCTGACTTGACTCTTATCCAGTTTTTCTTTCCTTACTCTTGCTCCACTTACTACAGGCAGAATACATCCAGCAGTTGTATTAAAGCACTGGCTTTGGGGAGCTGGAGCTGTGGATTGCTGTCTTGTAGTGTTACTGTTTGTGCCTGGCGGCAGGAAATCCAAACTGATTGCTGAAGGGACTTCTGCTTTTCGTTACGTGCAGGGGGTGAGCCAAGGGGGTCTTTGGCAGGAGAGGACATCGGAGTCTTTGTCTGGGAAGGCACAAGGAGGACAGCTGCCTCATTTTTTCAGCTTCATTGCAAGCTTTGTTGGAAATCCATTGTGGCAGATTCAGGAAATGGATTCTTTGATTACATGCTAGTGCGGAGGGAGATGAAAGTGACTGGAAACTTAAATGTAGTTTCTTTAATATTTCAGGAATGCTTGATCTGAGTGAAACAACTCAGAGCAAAGGCTAGCCTTTTCCTCAGAAGATATTATTACCTGCTATTTGAAGCCCATTCACTCTACTTTTGGACTTTAATATAAGTCAGACAGCACTAAATATGAAAAATTAGGTATACTTACAGGCATTCAGATTTACTTAGAGCTAACTCTGCCGAAGAAGAATCCTGTAAGAGACAGTCTGCATTTGGCAATGAAAATGAGCTGTTCAAAATGTCACTGAAAACAAGACTTTAAAAATGGAGATGTTACCTAGTGGAAAAACTAGTATGTGTTCAATTAAAAAAGCAGACAAAAGCAAGCAAATACTTTTCACTCAGAATGCAAGAAAAAATAACAGATGAGAAATGAGTTTTTTAAGTAACCCTTGAGGTATGCCCCCATGGGTATATATCTGGCTTGTCAGAGTCCTGAACAGCGTAGCGTGAAAATGCATGGTCAGGACAGGTTGCTCTGAGGTAGGTTTAGGATCAGGGAGCCCAAGGCAGCAGAAGGAGCATGAGTGGAAGCTGGGGGAGGAGGCTGGCACATGCCTGAGCTGCAGAAGGGAGTCCAGGGAGGGGTTCCCAAGGGACAGAGATGTGTAGTTGGTGGAAGTTTATGGCCTGAGGCTGTTGAAGAAAACAGAAACAGAGGATTCAGAAGATGGTGTTAATGGCTCATATCTTTTGATGCCTGTCCAGTGGTTTGGATGAAGTTGAGACTTCAGTATACCTCAAATGAGTGGTCCTTGCCCACTAGGAAATCATTGCTTGAACCAGCACTAATTTAACAACCTCAATGGCAACTGGAGCGGAGATATCAAAGGTGAAAAGACCACAGAAATGAGCTCTTTCCTCTGATTAAAGGATGTTCTTTCCAGGCACACAGATGTGATCCTAAACAAGGGGTTGCACAACCTTCTTTTATGAAAGTTATTTTCAAAACCATTCTTTCTTCATCAGAAAGAGTTGACAGTTGTCCTGTGGCAGACCAAGAGTCTCTACAATAACTGCCTGAAGTGCATGGCTGCAGCTTGCTTTGTTTCATGCTCTCTCCCCTCCCTCAGTTCCCAGTGTGCGTGTGCATATTTTACTTGGCAAGGGTGAAACCTACTGCTTACAAGGTGATTTATTGCTAATCTGCTTAGTGCTCAAGAGCGTCATCAAAAAGCTCTTAGTGTACTCCAGCTTGTCTTCCTTCCTTGCTCACTGTTTCTCTTCCTCAGCACATAAAGTTCTTGGATCTTATAAGGGCTGTTGCTTCTCCCAGTTATCATCTCTGTTAACAGTGCACAACTTAACTTTTAAAGTCTGTTTAATCTGTTTATGAAGTGTCTTAAATCAGTTGTAAAACTTTTAAAACTGAGGTGAATCTGAAGTATATCCCCATCTTCCCACTGATAAAAGACTAGTTCTGACTTTCCTGGTCGCTAGAGTGCCCATTCAAAATGCATGAAGCTTTTCATTTGACTTGATGAGTAAAACATCTTTCAGCCCGCATTCCAGAGTGGTTTCAGCCTTGAGCCTGAAGAATATAGATGGTGTCGCTCATTCCAAAACAAGGATGAGAAATGAATAACGTGAAAAACTTTCATGTAACATATAGCATATAACAGGAAGCAATGTCCTTAGAAAATAATAATCGAATAACTAGTGGAAAAAAGACAGGATTGGGGAAAAAAAAAAATAATTATAAAAAATGTGTAGTTTAGTATGCTTTAGAATATAGATCCTGTAGAAGAATCTGAATGGGGTTGTTGACATATTGCTTACGTAATTTCTTTTTCTTTAATCAGGGTGTGGTGTTTGTAAGAGAATGATGCCGTCTTTTCAGCAGGCAGCCACAGAACTGAAGGGTAAATATGTAAGTGAGAAGATAAACTTTATATGAAATACAAAAAACCCTTTTAGACGCTTTTTTTTTTTTTGAGCATTTAAAACCACAAATATTTATTGAAGTGGGGAATTTTTAATTGAGCTAAAGCAAAGCCAGGAATGAATGATGTTGTTCCAGAACCACTCAGGATTCTCTTTTTTTTTTTTTTTTTTTTTTAAAATTCATATTAAAACTTTGAAGAATGAGGTGTTAACTCACTTACCATTTATATCTGGTGTGGCTTCTGTAGGGAAAAATGGGTTCTGACACTGTGTAGTTGATCTGCTCCTAACTGGTTAGTCTGTGGGCTTTGGGCTTCCTCAGCTTGTTTTGATAAGATAAGTAAATGTTTGCCACACTGAATTTTGTTAGCTTTTTGGCTTGGTGTTTCATAGAGGGCTTGAGGATGGATGTCTTTATAGTAATAGTTAATCAACTTTTTCAGTGGAGAGTCAGTGTCATGGGATGGGTATTACCCTTTGTTAGCTTGATTGTTCTCTTAGCAAGTGAGCTTGAGCATTAATAATTAGTTTCACTGTAGCTTTGTTAACAAACAATTTATATTGGGCTGAAATGAAAACAAAATTTGATCCTAATAAAATCATGTTACAGCAATAACAACTTAATTACCTGTTCATACTAATAAGGCATGTTGAGTACTAAGCAAGTTGAAGATGCTTGTCAAGTCAAGATCTTATGCTTTGTGCATAATTTGTGTAATACCCCTAATACTGGAGTGGCACAGAAATAGGCTTATAGTAAGTTCCATAGGTCAGGCTGGATCTGTTCTGATCCTACCCACTGAACCAGTCACTGTAAGAGTTTTCAGGTTTCTTTAGGAGAGGCAGCAAATGATGGGGAAGAAATTAAGCACCACAGTGCATTACTAGGCAGGCTCAGGTGAGCTCATCTCTTAAGCACTGAGTGTGCTCACACTTCCCCAGCTTTTCCCAGCTAGTTGTTTTTCAAGTGTTTTCTTTAAATCCTTGCTTGCTTAGGGCAAAAAGCAGTGGGAGTTGTTCAGATTTATTTAGGATATATATTTTCTAGCATGCTTCTATCCAGCCAGGCAGCACTGAGATTCCCTCTCTCCTTGGAGGAGGGTGTGCTGCTTTCTGTGGAATGGTGCTCCCATCCTGCATGGCAGGTCCATTGTGAGGTGTGGGTGGACAGGAATTAGAAGCATGAACACCTATACAGATAATGTCAGAAAGGAGGGTTATGCCACTGCCTCCAGTGTCTTTCACATGTATCTGTTCATCTACATCTGACCTAATTAGATTTCTGAGTGGGATGTGTACAGAGTTTGTCATTTCTAAAATCTACTGTGCTGTACCCATCATAAATTGTCTGTGCATTGCCCAAAAGCAGCGTTGACCTCCAGATCAGGCATTGCTGGAAAGTTTATGATTGCTTTGGATGGAGTGAAGTTTTGGCCTTTTAATCAGACCTGTTCATTAGCTGTCAGAATGTGCCAGGCTTAAAAGTGATTATTACCACTAGATAGCAGGAAAATGAAATACCATGTGCCTTATTTCATAGACCCTATAAATGAAGAGGTGAACTGTTTCAGTTGTTGGTTGTTACATTCTTTTGGGACTAGTCCTCTTATGTTCCATACTGCTGCTGAAAGGAAAGTTGAGTGGCACATTCAGTATTATGCTTAGAGTTCGCAAATTCTTTCTGCACTGGAAAAGAGCAGCTCCAAGTGAGGTGAAGATGACTTATATTCTTGGCACAAAAGATTCCCATGATTTGTGGCAGGTGGGGTCTGGTGAGTGTCTGTTGCTGGCGCGCTATGGCCCAAATGCTGGGAGGAACTTGTGGTCAGCAAAGAACTTCATCTGCTTAATTTCTGTTGACTTTGAGTGCACCAGAAGGCTTCACCCAGTAAAGAGATGCTTGAGTGTGTTTAAGTGCTTTCTTCTGGTTCTTGTCTTTTTTTTTTTTCTTGTAAAAACTGGAGTCTTTAGAAGCTCCTACCCTTATTTTAGAAAATCAGCTTTGGTTAATGTGTTCATTAAACTTTGCGCTAGGAAGGCTTCAAGTGGTGATGCGAAGCTGAAATCTGAAGCAGCCCTTTTGAAAGGAGTTTTAAGCAATGTGTGAATGTTGTAGGAGAACAGGAATCGTCAGAGTCCTGTAAAATGTGACCGGCTATGGATTTAGATTACAGATAGCTTGTTTGGAAGCAGATGAATTGTTGAAATCTGTCAAATGTCACTGCAGAGATGAAAGGAATAAACTGATCCCCTGTTTGCTCTGGATGTTGCAAGAGGTAATAAATTTCAATTACAGTTAGAGTCTTTCAGTCATTTGCTAAAAGCAAATTAGCTAAACATCTAAACTCAAGTACAGAGGGAGGATCCAGAATTGGGTAGAAAGTGAGCTCATGGCTCCAGCCAGACTCAGTGGTACATAATTATGTGATTATAGGCCAGGTAAAGCATTAACTTTTGTCATTAAAAATGAATCCCATTGTAATGGGCCAGTTATGCTTCATATGATATATGAACACCAGTATGAATCCAGGTCCTTCTCTCTTATCAGTCACCAGTCTGGCTGGACAGAGTTCAGTTGGTCCTGTTGAATTTACCTGTCCTCAAGAGGTGGCATATAGGGTAAGGGAAAGGGAGAATTGATTCTTGGTATCTAAAATGAATTAAGTCAAACTGATTTTTAGAATTACAAGGAAAATTCAAAGAGACTGGACCAGCCAGAATAGATCCTACTTCTGTACTCCTCTCAGTTAACTTTCCTTTCGCCTTTCTCAGGATAGGTGAGAGAAAACAGAATCTTCTTCTGACTTTCCAGCATACTCTTGGAAAAAGTTGACCTTCAAGCAGGGATTGTGTTCTGTAAGATTTATTTCATGCTGGCTCTGAGCACATTTGGTTGGTCTATTCAGTTTGCTGCATCAGGAACCTGGTATTAAATTCTGATGTGATATTTCAGCTCAAAGAAGAAAATCCTGTTTTTGGAGGGGGATGGAGGAGGAGGAGTTTGGATTAAAACCCTGCTGCTGAAATGATTTAAGCTGTCAGTGCCATTAAAACTAAGCTAATCTTAAGGTTGTATCTCGGCAACTGGCTGGTTGGCTGCAGAACAGCCTCAGTGTGAAACTCACACCCATGGAAAATCAGAATTAGTACCATCCTCAGATTTTCAGATGAAAAATCTGAAAGGCAATTGGATAGGGCACAGAGCCCTGAGCCTGGAGCTTGGGGTGGACTGCTGGGTTGGAGGGCGGATTGGAACAGAGCCTGAAGAAAGGGAAGAGCAACTCTGTGTTTCACTGTCTGTGAAATTGCTCGGCTTCCCTACCCACCTTCAAGTATCTGTAAGACAAGGCTATTTCAACTGTCACTGCACCCTACCAGTCAAGCAGCTAATATATTTAAAATGCCAGGTGGAATTTCCAGGGCTCACGGAGCATGTTTTACTTTTACATTGAAGTAATACCTATTTCCCCACCTCCCTTCCCCCCTTCATTCATTAAGCGCAGCTTTAAACTGGGATAAAGCCAGTGCTTGGTCAGGTAGATCTGGATATGAGCTGAGGTTGTAAAATTGTTGCTGGAGTGGAAACCAAAGAAGTGTGGTGGAACTTGTGTCCTGGTTAGTGTTTGGGTATGAACCAAGCTTTGTACTTGCAGAAGAGGAAAAAGATCTAGTTAGAATTGTAGCTTAAAATACAAATACATAAGGAGAGCACAAGTAGTGAGATTGAGAGAATTTCCTTTTGGTGATTCTGTTAGTGGGTAAATAGAAAGAAATGGAGATTCTGCAAGAGAAATGAGTAGGTGACAAGATGAATGGTGTGTGTTTTCTATGGACTAGGCTCAAATATTGCTCTGTCTTCCCTTGGTCAAAATTGGAAACACTTCATTGCCTTTATGAAGTCCCTCTTGTTTTACAGCAATATGAATTAAATCAGAATCTGCCTAGAGCTTGCTTGCTTTTGCTTTGTGATGTTACTACTGCATTTTAGGAATCAATATAATTGTGTTCTGTTTTTTCAGGTTCTTGCAGGAATGAACGTTTACTCTGCTGAATTTGAAAGGATAAAGGAAGAATACAACGTCCGTGGATATCCTACAATCTGCTATTTTGAGTCAGTTACATTTTGCTACTCTTTTGGAAATCATACACTCAACTATAATTGCATGTTCTTATCTTCAAGGCAAGGACTAAACCTTGTTTTGTTGCTTTAATAGGAAAGGAAAGTTCCTGTTCCATTTTGAGAACTACGGTGCTACTGCGGCAGATATAGCAGAGTGGCTGAAAAAGTAAGGCACTGAACTTCATGCACTCTACCTTTTATGTACTTTTCATTATTTACAAAATGTAATGGTTTAGGATCAGCCATCTCTCCCTCATTCCCTCTGCTCAAAAGAGCAAACAAAACTACCCTGCTGAGATTGGCTGAACTAGCACAGAGAGATTGCCTAATGTTTGTTTTTCAGCTTGCATGCCTTGCATTTTACAACTGCATTTCATCTGTAATAGGAGACTGACTGGACTGAAATCAATGCAAATGCACAGATCTTGTCTTCGTTAAAAACGCCAACTTAAATTTCCAGTGATCTTGGGTGCCTGAACTTAATGTCTCATAAAAGGTCTGACTTTGGTTGTTTTATAAAAAATGTATGTGCCAAGTGTGCAGTTTTCTTTGCTTCTTCAGCCTTCGGATGGAGCCTTTAGAGTATCTTGCAGAAACAAGCAGCAGATCAAGGCACCCTGAGTCACTAGTCATTTTCACAAAGTTTGTGTTTCCTGTTGTGACTTGAGTGATGTTGAAAGCATCTTCTTCTGCCTAAAGGCAGCTATTTGCAGTTGTAAATATTCGGGGGGCTGAATGAGCATGTGGGAATAGAATTTGAGAGAGGGAGACAGAACAAGTGTGTTTATGTATGTCTTTTTCTAAATAGTTGGTATTCAGATGGTGCAAATCAGCACATCATTGAAGCTGGTGGAGCAGCTGGAGGGAGCAGAGCTTGTCTAGTGATAGACGATTGCCTTTAGCAGCCAGCTCCAGCTCTCAGGTTTTGTAGAGTTATGAAGGTTCTCCCTTGTTCCTTGCAGCCAAGGAAATGCTGTTAAAATTAAGCTAGTATGAGGAAGTGAAAACTTGGAAAATGTTGCAAGCCATCATGATAATATAGCTTAAGAAAAGTGGCTTACAATAGACATGTTTTACTGCACCCATATGGGGATGTATGAGTCATTCTGGGTAGCCCAGGGTCTTCAGCAGCTGTAGGTTTGGTGGTTCAAGGTTGGGGACCCACAAATATGGTGACAGATAGCATCCCTGTTAGCATCAAGAGGTACAATCATTGAAGGCAAGTGTTGCCCTGTGGATGATAGAGAGATTTAGATGTGGTCTATAAGCTTCATTTAGTTCATTCAGTCTTTCAGATAGAAATGACCAGGATAGCAACTCCAGCAGTGCTGAGGAGGTGATGAGCCCATAGAGCAAGGATGTGACTTCATCACCTGTACTGTATTATGCTTTTTAGTTCTGTGAGGATGTGTTTATCTCTTGGCTACCACATTTGAAACATTAGATGTCTGGGGTGGGCTTTTCCCATGTCTGCATAATATCCAGATAATCCATGTAATATGAAGAGCTTTTCTATCGGTGTTGTGACAGCAAGTGAGCACAGCAAAAGCAAAGCAGAACAGCTGCAAGCTCTTCCCAATGATAATCTTTGCTAACAAGCCACTGTGGGCTTTGGCTGATATTCCAGCAGTCCAGAGGTAAAGGCAGCTGTTTGTCCTCACTTAGCGTTCAGTTGCATGCTTATTAGCTTCCCCGAAGATGATCTGAGCAATAGCCTTCTTGCCCCTGTTTTGTATAATATATATGACTTTTGGGGAAGCCACATTGGGAAATTATGCATACTTAAATCTTGTTAGTAGTTAATGTTGTAATTAAAACTGTATGCAGGGTAAATCTACTACATGCATAATGCTGTATTACTCTGGGGAATCCATAGTATAGTGGTATATACTCAAGTGTGGTATGGCAAGGGCTTTAGGAAAGCCAGACATTGTGATTAGGTAGCTGCAGAAGGCGTATCCTTTGTATTTCAGAATAATACTAAAATTCTCACCAGATACCTCGAGCTAGAATTTAATATCATTACTGTTGTCATTTCCTGTAGTATTGATGTCTTGAGCAGTCTCCTCACTTCTGAGTTAGGAACACTGGCTCCCTTTTCTGAGAACACAACTACAGCGAAACGAGCAGAGAGCTGTGTGCATAGCCATGCAACAAGACCAAACCCAGAATCTAATATTTAGTCTCCAAACTCCCTGGCTGTCAGGTGTAGTTCTGGGTTTCCCATGCTGTGTCGCTTTGGATGATTCTCAAGTGGTGATGTTGGAGCATAGAGGCCGCTGCCAAGATGAAGCTGCTGACCTCAGGAAGTGGCTCTAGTAGGAGCTGCTGACCAGTCAAGCAGGTGTGCTGAGCAGCAGGAGCACAGTGCTGCCTGAGTGTCCATGGCAGGGAAAACCAACTTGTTTTCGTACTGTGCATGCAGGTGCCCTTTTCTGTGCGTTCTCAAAAGGGAATCCAGCAGATGCTGTGCCATGTGAGATGACCTATTTTCTGTGGACATTAGTTAAACACTGCAGAAGTGAGACTGTTTTCTGCTGTCTCCCCTTTGTCTGTTTTGCCCTGTAAATGTTTAGGGTTAAATGCTGAAAGCGATTGATCTGTGCTGATTTGAAGCATAGGACTGCAGAGTTAACAACAGGGGTTAGAATTGTTTAAACTGTACAAAGGATGTTTTTCATGCACTCTCAGAGCAAGAGCTCTACCAGTTTGAAGGGCTGTGGCGCCTTTTTTGTTATTTTGAAGGTACTTCCTTAAGTTGAAGTGTCCTAATGCATCAGCCTAGAGGCCCTTAACCCCCATTAATCTTCCTAATAGGCACAGACTATTATCTTGTGGAGTTTCAGATGTTCTTATGAGGCATGGAGGGAAACCGTCACACACTCTTTATCCAACACAGCATTATTAATATGAGAGATGCTATCTTGTATGTGCCACATTTCTTTTTTAATCTCTCTCATACCGCTGCATCAGTTTGGATGGTAGTGAAGCCAGACAATTTCTTGCTGCCTTCAATAGCTGCTTAGTTTTCTTGCTGTTTTTATGTACTTCTCTTGGGTCTTTACTTAGCACTAACTACTCAATTAAAGCAAGAACTTGTCCTCTGTACTTAATTCAATTAGCTCTTGATAACTCTTCCAGACTTCTGTCATCCTATTTTTGGACTTCAGGCGTTGGATGTGCCTTCTCTCAATTTTAAATGACATTTTAGATTTTGGTGGTTGTCTCCTCCAGGCCTTGAGGTGCTTCTTACCAGCTCCTGTGTAGGCTTATTAGCATGCACAGCATTTTAAAGTGGGCCTTTTGAATAAACATCCTGTGCCCTGCTTTACTGATTCCTTAGTGAAATAGGTCATGCCAGGCCCTGCTGAACACAGCTTTTGTGGTGCTTTGTGGCTGGTGTGTCCATGTTCATCATACTCAGCCAACTCAAACCAACTCTTTTTCCAAATAAATCATGTCATGATATTTTCTGGAAGCCTTCATTTTTCTACCTGTGGATTATTTCTGTCTCTTAGAGGCTTGGCAGTGATGCTCTAGTAAACTTTGTGACATGGCCCCTTACTCATCACAACCCTACCTGTGCTGTGGCCATTTCTGTTACAAACTCTTGTGAATGGTAACCTACTTCTTTTTCTCTTTGAGCTGCTTGGTCACCTTTGACGTTTGTTTCTCAGTTTGTTGATCCTACAGGCAGCATCAGAAATCTGCAGTTTTGCATGTATTGCTTAATATTCTTGGATCAGGCAGATTGCTTACATCAACAGCACTTGCCATCTGAATTTGTGCGTCTCTACTGCTTTTTTTTTTTTTTTTTTTATCAAACTAGGCTTTCAGCCTGGTAATGAGCAAGGCAGAATAAATGAGTTATCATCTGTTTGCCACTCCCTGTTCCAGACAGATAACACAATAATACATTTTAATCAAAAGTAGCAAATGTGTTTTCACGAGGAATGGGGCAACAGCCAGACCTGTACTTTGCCAAAGAATTTGAGGAATTCTGTGGGATATTTGGGACTCATTACTGTACCTGGCAAGGATAAAGTAGCTTTAAAGTTTGGCTCCAAATGTTCCTGTGCTTGGGTGTACTTTATGTGAACAGTGCTTAAATAAATACAACGTCAGTTCACACAGTTTAATTCACGTCTGCCGAATTTTCTTAATAATGTACCTTGATAATAGGAAAAAAAAAACAATTGTTCAGTGGACTGAACTGGTCCAGAGGATCTGAGGTTCAGTTTCCAGATGTACCAGTGTGTCTTTGAGCAGCCTCCCTGGCTGCCAGCCATGAAAGATGGTTAAGCTCATGCACGATCATGGGGGAGTTGGTGCAACATGTCACTTATCTTTTAGATTAAGCATGCAGTCTGAGTAGCTTTGCTGAATTAGACTTGTGAGGACGCTGTCAGGAGAGGACAGATGATTCCCCAGGACAAAGGGTTGTTCAGGGTAAAGCCATGATTTCCTGGGTAAATGTCCTAGTAAATGTTGCTCCTTGGTTCCAGCATTGCAGCTCCTCCTTTCTCTGCTGGCCCTGGTTGTGCTGTCAGTATTCAAGGTGACTGATTAGATTGGCTGTTTCTGTACGCTGTTTTTCTCTTTCATTTGCAGTGACTCTTGTGAACTGCTAAGTGTGAGTGCTTTGAGAAAGGGAGTCTCCTGCTGAGAAGGCTGAAAGAGTAATAGAAAAACACACCTGATTTTTATAATGTAATAACCAAGCAATCTGGTTATCTCTTCGTTCTGTCCCCTTCCATTTTTTATCTGTCCTTGTGAGAGGCTTGTGGAGTTTTTCCTCTCTCCTTCAATTCTGTCTGAGTTTTGGCGTTTATCACTTCTGAATGGGAGCGATTATGGAAGCTGATCAGTAGGGTTACTGTGTCAGACCTCTGTGACCATTTGCACAAAGGTAGTTCCTTGCAGTCAGACTTGCTAAAATTCCTCTCAGCATCAACGAGCTGCTTTTCAGCTGTGTCTGTTTGTCTTGTAGCCCACAGGCACCTCAGCCACAGGCTCCGGAGATTCCCTGGGCAGATGAGGAAAATGTAGTTTATCACCTGACCGATGAGGACTTCGACAAGTTTGTAAAAGATCATTCATCTGTCCTAGTGATGTTCCATGCACCATGTGAGTTTGCTTTTTCTATTCAGTACTCTGATCCAAATGCTTGCAAACAAAATCAATGACAATTTGTTGTGTAGGTTTCACAGGGCCATAAAATCAAAGTCCAGGCATTTCTTGTTTCTTAAGCGCACAAGGTACGATGGGTTTGTAAAGTTGCTGATTTTAAGTTTAGGGCAGAGATGTGCTGCTGGAAGAGGTATTTTGTAGGCTGTCTATTATAATTCAAGAGTGTCATAAAGCTTAAGTAGTTAGATCAACATTGTTTTGTAAGATTATCCCTATTTCTTGTATCTCTGATCTTCAGCTTGTCTTCTGTGCTACTTGCTTTCAAGGCAGCGCTCTGGTTGTTTGAGCTACTTGAGATCTGTGAGCTCGTAAGTCTTTGTTTGCAGCCACAGTTCATTCTCTGGTAAAGTAGAGGGTGATGGTCATTATGTATTTTGCTGCAGGGTGCTAGTAAGTTATGTAAATTCAGAAAGTCTTTTGAAAACTGACTGATAGTGATCTTAATGGCTTTTTGGCTGAGAATGAATGAGGTTAATTTTTCTGGTGCAAAATGCAACAGGTTGCCCTAAGGTATTGCCCTCCAAGCTGTTCCAGCCATGTTGCTCTCCTATATTTTGTATCCTCTGGGTTGATGTGGAGGATTGCATTGTTTGCATGCAAACGATGTAACTTGTTACAGCTGCGTAGCTGGTTCTACCAGTTCTTTGTATCTTTAGCTGAAAGTTCAGGCTCAGATCTGCTGCATTGGATGGTATGTGACTTCCGTCTCTTCTGGCTGCTGGTGCTGCCATTTGCACTTGGATGAGATGGTCTTTTTTTTTTTTTTTTTTTTTTTTTTTTCAGGCAAAAACTGAAAGGGTAGCAGTCTGGAGGTAGGCTGCATGCTCACAGTTAAACAACCGAGGGTCTTGGCACAGAGGCTAAAATCCTGCTTCCCTTCAAGTCAGCAGGATTTAGCACCTAAATGCCTCTTTTGAAGGTCTGCTCATAAGACTTGCTTGGAAAACACAGCATAACAAATTTCCTCTGCCTGATGAAATGTCTGGCCATTTGATCCACGGAAGCAGGTGACTGCTGTTTTGTTGCTGTGTTCATTGGATTGTTTGTAATAATGAAGGCAGGTCTGGAGATTAATGCCTGGTCTGAAAACCAAAGTACAAGTAGCAGAACTGATGAGGCTTGCTTTGCTTAGGGTTCCCCTTCGTTACCCAAATCCTTCCTTCCCCCAGTTTTCTGCACACCCCCGTGTGCAAGAGACAGTGCTGGCTGCTGCTCCTCTGGGCTGCAGAGCAGCTGCTGCCAGGCAGGAGTGTAACGACTGAGCTTCCCTTCTTTTCCTCTGTGCACAAAGGATAAGGGTCTTCTTTGTTTAACCGCAGATTTTTATGGGGATTTATTAGTATTTGAAAGAATTGTTGTTTTTCTGAGTTTGTAATGTGACAAAGGAGTTCAATAATCTATTTAGGAGGAGGCAGAGAGGAGGGAAGAAATCGAAAGTTGGTCCTGTAAACCTTATTCCTTTAGGAAGCCAGATTAAAAATAAATGAATACCTGCAGCTATGATCTAATTTTGTTGTAAATTCAAGTTAGTTTTAAATCCGAACAGAGCTCTGCTCAGTTTTTACGCTTATTTTGTTAATATCCTCTATAGTACACGTGACACAGTTTTAGGGGTGATGTGACCCATCTGGGGAGGAGGAGCACGTCCAGCTGAGTGTTCTGTGCTAAGGTGCAGCAATACTTTGGCATGTGCTGTATTAAATGCTGAGCAGAACTGTTGCAGTCTCCTGACAACGTGTTCCGGCTGCTCAGAATTGAACTAAAGAATGTTATGTACCAGAAAACTCAATTTTAAATGAAACTTGAATATTTAGGGCATGAATAACTCAATATGCTTTATTTTCATTGAAGTGGTGGTGGTGTGCCTACGTGTAGGATCCATCTTGTAAATTTGTAAATGGTCTGTGATTGGAACAATCCTCGTGGGCAACCTCAGTAGAGGGTACAAGGCTTACAAACTAATTAATGACAGACAGCCATCATGAATAGTTATTAATGTGATTTACTGTGATTAAAAGACCTGCTCAGAGCACTTCTTAATTTTGTTAATGGAGTCACCTTAGGAATAATAGGAGATAAATAGCTCTAGGAAAAAAGAGAAAGCAATACAAATGGAGGATGTTGTACTTGTTTTAAATTTTGTGGCTGAGAACATGAGAGTTTTTTCTAAAACAATATGACTTAATTAAAAAAAAAATCAAAACACATATAAGATAGGCCCAGAACTTGGGATATATTTCTTTATAACTAAGACTAAACAAAGACATTTCATTGTTAGCAAGGACTTAGAGTGCTGTGTCCCCATGCAGGATACACATGGACTTTTTAACATGTTATAAATCCTGTGTTTTGGAGAGGCAGAATTGTTTCAGTGATGCTTTAATTACAATTTCATAGTCAGATAGCCAGCGCATTAATATACTGTAATGTTAAGATGCATGTGGGGAAAATGGAAGCTGCAAGTGCTGAAGGTACACTTGAGCCGAACGTATTCATAGTAAATAGCTGTGAACTGCAGAATTAGGTGCTGTGATGTGTGCAACCAATTGGGTCTCCATGCCTGCGGCTACTAATGGTCACCCCTGAGGACCATGCCATCGTGATTCACAATCAGCTGTGCTCAGTAGCCCAACTAGAAGTGTTGCAGCGTTATGTGAAATGAGACCTGGTGTGTAACCAAGTTCAGCTAGAGCAGCTGTGTCTGAGTTAAACGTATCAGGAATGTTTGTCGAATGCAGCTTGCACCTCTTGCTCTCCGAGGCCTTACCTTTCCTGCAGTGATGTAGCACAGCCACCAAACAGAAGATGTGCTGCTTTGGGTAGCTGCTGTTGGCCCTGAGAATCATGGGTGAATGCAGGTGGGATGAGTTTGTCCTGCTTTCATTTTGCAGGTCACTGGGGGCACAGTAGGACTTTTAACCTTCTGAAACTCCTTTGTATAGATTTTAAGAGGATGTTCAGCAAAGCTGAGCATTTAGCAAAGGTCAGCAGCAACTCAAGGAGCTAAGAATCTGAAGGCACGTTTCCTCAGTCACTGCCGAAGAGCAGGCAAGCATTGTGTTCCTTCCTCCTTGAGAATTATGTTGAAATTTTATAAATGCTGGTGGTAAGCGTATGATTATCCTGGGTGCATCCAGACATCCTGAGGGTTCACTCAGCTTTGCTTCTCATGTCATGCAAAACTGTTGATGAAGGTGACTGATCTTGCAGACATTCCAAGTGGGTCTTCTGTGTTGCTACTTGTCACAGAAGAGAATTTGGGTTATAAACTGAAATCTCCAATGTAGCGCTCTACAAATGGAGAGCAAATAAATGTCCCTTTGCCCTGGAGGTTTTGGAGTTGTTGCTTGAATTGGCCTTATTCAGTAGTAACAGTTCAGTCTCTAAAAGAATATGCATCGCACCAAACAAAGGTGTACTACAGCTGTACCACAGCCTCAATAAAGACAGCTCATCATAGCTTTCTGATAGCAGTGAAAATAAGAACTCCATGTCTGTCTGTGCCTCTTGATATCCATGCTATATGCTGATCAGTTTATTTAGATGCCTGAGACGACAGCTGGGTGCTGAGTGTCTCCAAATTTAAGCGATGCTGCCAGTCAAATGTTTCTGAATGCTTAGTGACACAGGGACTCACTGGGACTTAAAATGTTCCTGAACCACTTCAGTGCAGAAGAGTCCTGTTTATTTTCAGTTGTCCCCGTCAAACTGCTGAGTCAAATGCTAGTTTTAAAATAACACTGCCCAAAATATTTGCCAAATTAGTGCAGCTTGCAGCCTTTCAGACTGGCTTTTGTCAAATAAAAGAAAAATAATAATAATTTCCTGTTCCATATTTTTTCCATCTTTGTGCCCCAACCCAAGATTTGAATTTTGCACAAAATAACCCAAACTAAGTTGCTTATAAGTTGATTCAAATGCTACTGAAAGGTGTTTGAAATCTTGCATTGAAATTAAATCCAATTCAGCAGTGGTTTTTAAAAGTGTCTGTCCTTCATGCTAGAGAGTTACTTTTCATTGTGTTTTGTTAGCACAAATGACCACTAATGTTTTAAAGTGTTTGTGTTCAGGATATCTTCTGTGTGGAACCATGTCCTGATGTCACCAGAAGCTGCAGCCTCCCTGGGGACGTTCAGTGAGTGCCGATCCCAGTAACCAGCAGCTCTTGTTGGGTGAGGGTTGGCAGCCTCCCGTGGTTGCTCTTTGTCCCTCTCACACGCTATTTGCCATAATAGCATTTCGCCACAATAGCAATTGTGGTCTGATACTAGTGCCAGGGGTAAAGGAGAGGAGAAAAGACAGTTTGGCCTTACTTTGAGTATGCATTGACATTTTAAGAATTAAACAATTATAGCATCCTTTTCTGCAGTATTTCTTCCTTGTATAGGAGCTTAAATTTATGTTAAGCCTGTCTTTTGCCCAGTTTTCCTTATAGGACTACTTCTTAGGCACTGTATAAGTCATAGCTGCAGAGTGTAAAGTTAGGAAAAACATGGCTAGTGGGATATTGAAGCTGTTGATGTTTTCTTTCCTTGATAAGGCAGGCAGGCAAGGAACACACAGCTTATTTTTTCTTTGCTCCTTAATTTGTTCTTGGAAACTGCTTTGGAGATGCAGCCGTGCCATTACCTCCTATTGCTCCTCCTAGTAGAAGGGAGGGAAGAATAAATCTTGATAAAAAGCATTACAGTTTTGATGTGTTGTTGAAATATCTGAGAAATTCCTTTTCTGTCCTTAGATATTTTCTCTCCTTTTATAAACCAGCCTGATAAATTATACTGTTAGTGTTCTCCAAAGCCAACTATTCAACTGTGCCCGTTTTTAATTGTGCTGGAAGCTGTTTTATCAAATTAGATTTGGAAAAACACCTCTTCACACCCTCCTTCCCTTCCCTCCTCCTTCCCATACATTAAACTCCAAGGTTTTAAGCTACTTTG